TCTAGCACCATTATTTTATGTACCAATAAGAAAGAAGAAATGCGGCCAATGACATTATGTCACATGCTTTATCCCTCAGAGCTTCATCTTACACTCAACGCAAGTGCTCTCTGAGGCTTCCTTTGATACGGGTTTTCTCATATATTGCCTTTATACATACATACAAAAAAGAAAAATGTAAGTAAAATGACTTGGTTTAGGTTTCTAAAAAGTTCTTCCCATTTGGAGGCTGACTCGCCTCATCTTTCACCCCTTTCACAAGGAGACACGCATCCACGTCCCCTTGTTCTTCCACTCTGCTCCGTTAGCACACAGGTGAGGAGGGCAACGCCAAAGCGCCCTCTCTCGAGGTCTCTCTGGGTTGACTTCCAGGGCTCACAGCCACTCTGCAAGGTGCCACCTGCATGTGCCAGCAGCAGGAACTACGTCAGGACCAGCAGGTGGACGGCAGTGGATGATGTACTGATTTCAGAGATATTCACATGTGAGGCGGACAATGTGTGCCTGAGCGCTCAGCCTACTGTTAATGTCACCAGAGGGGGAAACTCAGTTTGACATTGGCCGAATACAGTGCTATAATGAAGCACTTCAGGCAGCAACAACCATTTCTACTAGTTCATCTAGAGCACAGCTCACCTAAATTGGGGTGATTTTTAAAGTATCAGTATTAGAAATAACTCTTTATGTATGGAATAGGGAGTTTAATTCTGTGTGAAATGTAAGGAATGTACAAGCCACTGATTGAACCAGGACTGATCCAGAATAAAAGCTAACAAGACTTCATTGAAATCCACTGCATGCATTCAAGCTCCTACAGTGCAGGCTGTCAGTGAGTCTTCACGCGGCCATGCTCCGCCGAATCCCAATACATGCTGGGTTTGCAAACACCCAGCAGATCTTTACCCAACTTTGGAAAAAATCAGCCCACACATTTAATAGCCAAGAGGTTTGGGGAGCAGCAGTGTGATGGCAAGAAGTCAGACCCGGTGATCCTCTCTAGAGACTGGAATCAGACTATTATGCAGGCCACACGGGTCCCCCCATCCCTCCCATCCCCTCTAACCACCACGAGCAGGGGCCAGGAGGAGTTCCCAGCCTCGGTGTCCTCCCGGAACCCCATCACCCTTCCACACCCCACACTCGCAGCCTGACCGCCATCCTCAGCCTAAGACCATCTGGACTGAGAGTGCCCTTTGTCTCTAACTCAAGCTCTCACAGGAAGCTCAGGACTCCCAGGTCATTGACAATCTGGCAGTCTAAACGTCAGGAGAGTTTACACATGTCATCCCACCCACTCCCAACCTCTGAACCCTTCCACTATGACACACGGAGCTCCTGGTCCATTACCAGCAGACTCCCTCAAATCGTCAACCTCTCATCTATGTACCTTTCACCTTCCTGCTCTATGGGACACCTGCCTCTTCCAGAGCCCTGTCTCCTTGGCAGGCTCTTCAAGTGATGGATACTTCTCTGCCCACTGTGCTTCTACCACTGGGCCTTGGTGGAGTTGCCTTGTTCCACAGTGCTGCTTCCTTACCGACGGTGGGCCAACTTTTTCTTAATAGGCCATGTAATAAATATTTTAGGCTCTGAAGTAAATATTCCAGTCTGTCTCAGCTACTCAACATTGCCATTACACAAGAAAAATCAGCCACAGACAATATGCAAATGAATGGACATGTCTATGTTCCAACAAAAACTTATTTGTAAAAGTGAGCAGCCAGGTGACAGGCTTTAATGCACTGACTCTCAGATCAGCAGTCTATGCCACCTGCCTCCTCTCCCCCAACTGCCATCATCCCCAGACCACTGAATCACTTCCTTTTACTCCCTGAGCTCAATGCTACCCTAACACCACTCTTGACATAATTTTTGTGATTCCTACTTCACAAAGCCTGGAATGGAGCTAGGTTTTATGAGAACTTAAGCTTATACAATTGGGGCAGTGCGGGGGGGGGGGCAGTGCATGGATTATAAGAAGAAAAAAACAAAATTATGAATGTAAAATTGTCCCTGTGAAAATGGGGGCACTTGACACTTAAGCTTTGTTAGCTTCACAGTAAACCCACTTGTGCTGCTTCTGGTGCTCCAACTCTAACAGCCCACTGAACACACAAGTTCAGCAGCCACCTCCATCACCTCATAGACCGTTCTTCCATGCCTGACTTCTCAGCTCCCTAAGCTCCTGTCTTCTAGGATTTTGTCCTTCATCCGGCCTCAGCCACGTAATCCCATGCTTCATGGGCCAGCAGCAGCAACCTCCGTAATGCCAATTTCAGGCATCTAACGCCTTATCCACTCTCTCAATTAGCAAATAGAGCCACTAATAATTTTATAGGTTTCATTCTGTAGTATCTTGATTCTCAGCCCACATTAGAGAGAAGAATGTTTTGAAGGGATACATGGGTGGGTTTTTTTTTGTTGTTTAATGGAATGGTCACCAAGAAGGTTTGCAGAAAAAGAACAGCATTTTATTATTATGGGTCACGTTTTCCACTTTCTCTTTCGTGTCTGCTAAGTTTTGATTATAGACTGGTCATTGTGGATAACATGTTGTAGAGAGTTGGGATTATATTGTTATAAGTGTATTGACTTCTGTTCTGGCAGGCAATTAAATTCCTTGTGAATCTTTTGACCCTGAAGGATGTAGAGTTGTTCTTTGCTAGGTCAGGTCTATAGTGGTTTAATCCTTAGTCCTAGTACATGGTCTAAATTCTAAGGCAGGGCTGGAATTCCTACATCTCCTTTCACTGCAGGATTTCTGCTATCTCATTTCAGTTCCCAGCCTATGGCGTCTGCTCTAGCCTCTGCTAAGCCTAACAGAATGTTTCTCTGTGCAAGTGAAGGCCAGCCCTTACCAAGGGCCTGTGGGAAACCTGCATGCAGACTTCTGGGCCCAACACTCTTTGTAACTCTTCTCTTAGGCTCTGTCCTGTGACTACTCATCAGTTCATATCTCTGAATACTGAACTCTACTCCCAGCTCAGCAAGACCTGTGTTCCACCTGTACCCTACTTCCCTCTCCAAGGGGGGAAAAAATCCAGAGTGACATGAGCTTCACCTTAGGTGTTTCCCTTCTCACAAGGATCATAGTCCTCTTCTGCTTATTTCTCAGTGACTAAAACAATTGCTTTATGTATTTTGTTGAGTTTTACTGTTGGTTAGGGTGGGAGGGTGTGTTAGTATCAGTCACTGTCACAGGAGAAAGCCAATATGCACTTTTTCAAGTGCAAATAATAAATCATGAAAACTGACCATATATTAGGTACAAGAAAACCTCAAAACATTATTTTAAAATAACCTAAAGAACAAAATAAATGAACAAAGTAGAAACAGACCTATAGATACAGAGGACAAACTGGTGGTGACAACATGGAAGGAAGGGTTGGGAGGCTGAGTGAGAAAGGTGAAGGGATTAAGAAGTACAAAAAGAGTCACTGGGATGTAAAGTATAGTAAAGGGAACATAGTCAATAATATTGTAAAATCTAGGTATAGTGTCAGATAGGTACTAGACTTATCAGGGGATCATTTCAAATTATATGTAGTGTAGCATAGGGAATATAGTCAATAATATTGTAATAACAATGCACAGTTCAGATGGGTAACAGACTTATTGGGGTTATCAGTTTGTGAGGTATATAAATGTCTAATTACTATGTTGTTTTGTACACTTACAACTAATAAAAAAATGCTCCACATCATGTCACCAGGGAAGACAAATTCAAACAATAATAAGACACCACACCACACACTTAGACAAAACCCAGAACACTGACAACACCAAATACTGGGGAGCACGTAGCAGGGGAAAGTCTCATTCCTCGCGGGTGGGAATTCAAAGTTGTGCAGCCACTTTGAAAGGCAGTTTGGTTATTTTTTACAAAACTAAATAATTAGCATTAAGATTAGCAATCACACTCCTTAGTATTTAAAGGAATTCTAAACTTATGTCCATACAAAAACCTGCACAAGGATGTTTACAGCAGCTTTACTCATAATTGCCAAGACTCAGAAGCAACCAGAATGTCCTTCACCAGGTGGACGGACCAACTGTGGTCCATGCAGACAATGGAATATTATTTAGAGCTAAAAAGAAATGCGCTATCAAGCCATGAAAAGACATGGAGGAATCTTAAGTGGATATTACCAAGTGAAAGAAGCCAATGTGAGAGGGCTACATACTATATGATTCCAACTATATGACATGCTGGAAAAGGCAAAACTATGGAGACAGTAAAAGGATCAGTGGTTGTAAGGGTGGGGGACAGTGGTTAATAGGCAGAGCACAGAGGATTTTTAGGGCAGTGAAAATACTCGGAATAATATTATAATGATGGATATTTGTCATTACACATTTGCCCAAACCCACAGAATGTACAACACCAAGAGTGAACCTAAGGTAAACTACGGACTTGGGGTGATGATGGCAAGTCCATGTGGGTTCGTCTTTGATAAACGCACCGCTCTAGTGGGAGGTATTGATAATGGGGGAGGCTCTGCCTGTGCGGGGTCAGGGGTTACATGGGAAATCTCTGTATTCCTCTCTCAATTTTATTTTAAACCTAGAACTGCTCTTACAAAATAAAATCTTAAAAACTGTTTTAAGTTATAAAATTACAGGCATATATGTGTAAGATGTAAAGTAAACCCACCCTCAACCCATCCAATCTCATTTTACAAGGTGGCTTTGACCATATATGTTTTCGTTTTGATTGGCCACAATAAGTCTAAATACTATGCTGGTACTTCTATTTTGGGGTTTGTCACCTTTCAGCAGTGCCTATCGACTTTGTGCAATGAAAGAGAATGAATTCATGTAGGGAAACTATCACATTTCCCCTTTTTTGCTGGTAATATTATTATTTACAGACACTTAAACATCTATGTGAACTGATGAACTTCAAATAGTACATCTTGACGCCCTGCTATGTAAGACGCGGAAACTTACAAAGAGGCAAAACTCAAAAGAACCAAAGACGAATTCTAAGAAGCACTTACCCTGTTCATAAAGTAGCTTCATATTCGCATCTTTGCAGGCAACCAGATTGCTGAGCAGTGCAATCACGCTTTGCATGGTGTTACCCAGGATGTTCTCCTGATGCTCCTGCGAACAGATTATAATGCTCATCATAACGATACAGAAATAAAATTACATAATAATAAAGACGAATGATCAAATGGCCTCCATCCCCTCATTCTTGGCACCCGGCGCCACGATTATGCCTTTGCATGCTCATGAGGCAGACGCCTCCGCGCCGTGGCACGCCCCATTAGTGAGTTAAGTGACTGGGGAGGCAGCCTGAACCATTCGGAGCACGGGCGCCATTGCACGCGGTTCTCTGACCGTGAGCTGAAGGACAGCCACGTAGCCCTCTGTGCTTCAGATGGGCGACAAAGGAGTCATCGTGACCAGAAATCAAGTATGTGAAACTTAGGAGGCCACACCTGAAAGTCATCTTGAGGTCACAAAGAAATATTTCTGCAGACTCCGGAGTAAACTGGTACTGATCTTTTCCTACTGAAGTCTTTTACACTGATGGTTATGTTGTTGGATATGACTTATTGCATCACTGCTTTGGTGTAATAAACTACACTTGGGACCTAAAAGAGTGAATTTTGCTTTCCCCACACACTTAACATCATATGGCAGGAAGTAACTTTGGTCTTAAAGAGAATGAGAAAAATGAATAATTTTTCAGTCTTAATTCCTCATTTTAAAGACAAAAAAAATTTCATTGTAACATTTAAGGGATTTCAAAAATAACGTGCTTTAGTTTTATTTCCCTTTTCATTCCTCTGAATTTTTTAACAATTCAACAACCTAGAATAGAAACTGAGAAATTTCAAATAACAAAAATAAACAGAGCGCCTTTAAGCTCTGGAACTAGGACGAGGCAAGCAAGACGCATAAGGAACACGAAGAAGGGAGGCCCTCATCTTCAGGTTCATGCAAATGCACGCTCTCACTGTCTAGTCTGCCTCACTCTAGTCCTGGTCCTACCCCTGGACCACTCAGTTAGTAAACGGGCCCATCCTAACAAGTAACAAGCATATCAATTTAGTAGGCTACAGAAAGGGGGGGGGGGCAAATATGTGGTTTGCTCTATTTTGCTCTTTCAACAAATAATCAATGTATAACTATTTTATACCAGGCACTGTTCTAGGCACTTAAGGTATATCAGTGAACAAAATAAGGTTCCTTGTCCTCAAGGAAACAGACAACAAACAACAAGCATAATATTAATAAGTAAGCTACATAATGTGTTAGAAGGTAGCAAGTGCAGAAAAGAGGAGAGAAAAGTGGGAAATCTGTATTCATTTGTAATGACTAACTCAAAGCTAAAAAATGTAGATTAATCATTAAAATAAAAAGCTGGTTCCTTGGAAAGACCAATACAATAGACAAAGCTTTGGTGAGTCCAATCAACAAGAAAGTGGAGAAGACAATGTAAGAAGTGATGTAAATAGGTTCAAGAAATATTTTTGAAGATAATAAGAGAATGCTAACAATTGCATTGTAATTGGAGATGCCCATGACACTTGCTTTGGCCAATTAAACTCACTGGGGCAGAAACTTTCAGGGTCGTTGAGGGCTTCGTTGTCCTCTTTCCCTCGGCCCTGGTGACCGGTAATGGTCCATATGGTAGAGGCTCCAGTAACCCAATTCTCAGCATGAGGTCATGCTGCAGAGCGGCCAGGGGTGCTTTGATGGAGACATGGTTCCACAGTGTACAAAACTACCAACATGCCTTTGTCGATGGAGCTGCACTGTCAACAGATGTCTACCTTCCACTCATGGGGGCCGCCTGATTTCATGACTTTACTATCTATGTCTTTGCTTGATAAGCCCCACTTAATATTACACAGAGTATGTTGGGGGGACCACAGAACAGAGTCCTTGTTCCTCTCAAGATGATAACACGATGAGGGGCTTGCTTTCCAAATATAGACACCTACAAATTTCCTTCTTTAGAAACACACACTTAAGAGTGGATGTTAATGTTGGACTGTTTTGCCAACACCGGCTTAAGAAGGTTAATGTGGAAGCCATGGTCTACCACCAATTTCATCCAATTATTACAGCTGGTTGGACGGAAAGGGTGATTAATAAGCACCAACATGGCATGATATGTTCCTCACGATAAAGTAACTAACAATATATAGGAAACCTATTTTTGTGAAGCAAAGAAAAGCCAATAACTCTTTTTTTGGTCCCATTCAGAAAAGTCACACATACCACTCCTTGTTTAAAGACCAGTCTGTAAGCAAATACACATCAGTCTTACCGGAGATATGAGTATATCCATCGTTCCTTTGATATGCACATTTTAATGATTAAGTGCACATTTTCTATGATGCTCTTGGCAATACTGCAGTTTTTCCTTGTGCTCACAGGGTGAGTGCCACTTACAGATGTAGGTATTTCCTTTAATACTAAAACCAACTTTCTAAACCTCCATTTACCGCTGAACACTAAGAACCCAGGATGGCAGCCTGGCCAAACAGGTCGTGGGGCTCCAGACCCGAAGGTCCCAATGCACTGCAGAATGAGCGCCTCTACCAGCCGCTCATCAATCTGCAGAGGGGATATGGCTAAGGCACACCCCAGTTTTCAAGAGCCCCCACTGCCCTATGACCGGGAGCACTCAGGACAAAATAGTTGATGCAGAGAATAAAGACAAGACCAATAATCCTGTAACCAGGCTGGGAGAAATGGCTCCATTTCTATCGTATCCTTTGATGGTCACCAGATAGGAGGAAGGTTGAGGAGCTGGATAAAAAAGGTGAAAGGATTAAGAAGTACAGGTTGCCAGTTACAGACATAGTCATGGGAATACGAAGTACAGCACAGGGAGTATAGCCAATAATACTGTAATGACTATGGATGGTGTCAGATGGGGACTAGACTTAGCAGGGTGATCACTTCGTAAGGTACTCGTATGTAAATTTCTAATTGCTATGTTTTACGCCCACAACTAATATGATATTGCATATCAGCTGTAATTGAAAAATAAAATTAAAAAAAAGTTTTTAACTTTTTTAGTTTCTTTGTTGTTGGTTTTCAAGCTATGCATAAACTGTGAACTTCATTATTAAGTGGGGCTTATAAAACTTATAGAATTGTATGTTTATTACTGTTCCCTCTTTATATAGACTTCGTACATAGTGTGGGGGAAGGGGACTATGGAAAAGAGTCACTATTCCTCTCAGGATGATGACATGGTTCTCTGGGGGAACTAAGACAGCTACGGCTGTGGCCTGGATCATAATACCCCCCAGAAAGAATGCTAAATACGTGGCAAGAACAGTTGAGAAGGTGTAAATATGAATTAAGTACAACTCTATTAACTTCTATCAGATTGAGTTATTTCATTTCTCTTAGCAACTTTAATAAGATTTGTCCTTGCTGTTCACAAACACGTTAGCCTACAGGGGATAAATTATGCATTGAAAAACATCACATTTTCTTCTTAAAGTCAGAGGAGAGGATTATACGAAGGGAGAAAATATGAGGGTAAGTATGTGGGGCCAGAGTTCGTCCTGGGCACCTGCAGAAAACTGGTGCAAAGAGAAAAGGGCGTACTAAGTGAAGTCAGACAGAGCAAGTCGAGAACCATGTGATTTCACTCATATGTGGGATATAAAACTGAACAAGACAAACAAAGAAAAACTCACAGACACAGACAACAGTTCAGTGGTTACCAGAGGGAAAGGGGGGGTGGGGGGTGGTAGAAGAGGGTAAAGGGGGTCAAATACATGGTGACAGAAGAATTGACTTTGGGTGGTGAACACACAATGCAATATATAGATGATGTATTATAGAATGGTACGCTTGAAACCTATATAATTTTACTAAACAATGTGACCCTAATAAATTTAATTTAAAAAGAAAAAGGGAAACACAGGTTTGGTTCAAAGACCATGGGCCAGAGCTGGAGGGCAGGGATGATTCTGATTAGAGACTATGTCCTCATTAGATGCTCCTCTAGATGCCCGAGTCCCTGGGTGGAAGAGCTGTAACACAAGGCTAGGTGAAATCCTTTACCTATATCATCTCATTTAATCACCACAAAAGCATGGAAGAGGCTACAGAGCTCCCCTTTTTACAGCTAAGGACACAGGTTAGTGAGGTGAAAGGTAACTTGCCCAGAACCCCCCAGCTCTTCAGTGGTGAAGCTGGGATTTGGTCTGTGGGATGGCAGAAGCCATGCCCCTAGTCACCACGCAGCATTGCCTGGTGGCCACAGTAATGGAGGAGAAAGGAGGGGCGTCAGAGTCCCCAGACCAGCCAACACACCCCAGGTTACCCAACACCCCGAGGGCCCATGGGGTTATTTGAGGAGACTTTAAAGGAGTCCAGAGCAGGGGTGGAAAGAAGCAGAGAAGTACAGTTTGGGAGGCTGCTGTTGGAATGTTGCCCTCCATCCTTTCATGCCACAATGTGCCCTGCCCTGTGGCACCACCACTGGGATCTCCTGGCTTCATAAGAGCCCTTAGTATATATCGCCATGCTGTAAGACATACAACCCAGGAAGCAAGATGTAGGTATTAGGCAACTACAGGAAAGAATGAGCATGTCACCCCCCCAAAAAGAAAACACATACTAGAGCCACCATTAACCACCACATTATTCGGACACTTGGAGTTACCACTGGCTGATGGGAGAAGGCATCGCTGGCACCCCACAAAGCCGCAGAAGGCAACCCCACTGCCAGTTAAGATTACGATGAAAATATCTAACTCCTTCATCCATAACCCATCGATAAGCACAGCTGACCTAATTGGTGTGCCTAATGCTATAGTGTATGGACATTTAATAAACAGGGCCCTTGAGAGTTCTAATAAAACATAGCATTTGCCAGTAGAGATAATTAGAACTGAAGCAGCACAATTCTAGTGTTTGGCAACACAGATGAAACGACTTCATTAAAATGTACAGCTTTCAGCAAATGAAAGGCAGGCAAGCACTGGACCCTGAAGAATCAGTCTTCTCAAAACTAATTGCTTCAGTGCTTAAAGAGGACAGCTCTGAAATACCAAGGGCACAGCAAGGAAACGCGACTAAAAAATGATCAGCCTTCCCAAAGAGGTTTCACTGTAAAC